CCGGCCTGCACGGCACCCTCGCAGCACCCAGAGAGCCTCGCCTAACGCTTGGCGGCCTCTCACTCTTGTTTCCCTACAGACCGCCAGCCCTGGCCATCACCTATAGCGTCACCTTCCTCCTCTTCCTCCTCCTCCTCTTCGTCTGCTTCTCGGAGCACCTGACGGTGAGCTGGTCTTGGGGGTGGAAGTGGCAAGGTGGGGCCCAGGCCTGGAGGGGTCCCTGTGATGGTGGACCGCTGTGCTCCCTCCACAGAGGTGTGTTCTGAAAGGTCCCAAGATGCTGCACTGGCTGCCTGCGCTGTCGGGCCTGGTGGTCACCCGGCCGGGCCTGCGAGTCGCCCTGGGCACCGCCACCATCCTTCTGGTCTTCCTCATGGCCATGAGCAGCCTGGTGAGGGTCAGGGTGAGGACAGGGGCTCCGTTCAGCCCGGGAGGCTGTGTTGGACTTGCCGGGGAATGAGAGGGGTGGGAGGAAGGCTGGGGGATTGGCGGGGGCTGCAGTGGGTGTTGAAGAAGTAGAGAGAAGAAGTGCAGTCACCCCAGCCTCCCTCCCGGACAGTCATTGGTGGGCGTGTCCTCGGTAGGTCGATCGTCCTCCCTTGGCCTGCTGACTATGATCTCAGAGCGACGGTTGATGGATTGTTTTAGAGTGCAGAATAGTAAAGCCCTAGAATTGTATCCCTGGGAGGCATCTTAGGGCTGGGCATCATACCCACCCTACGCCCACCTTCAGCCAGAGGAAGCTGAGGCCTGGCGAGGGTGAGTGGCTGGCAAGAGACTCAGGACAGAGTAGCACCCTTGACACCCAAAATGCCCAGCCACGGGCCCTGCATCAACCACTCCTTTGGCCTTGACTCGTCCCTGGGTCAGTTGAGACCCAGTGCAAGGGCCCCTTACACCCCTCAGTGCCTCGTTCGTCTCCTCTGCAGTTCTTCTTACCAGCATCGCCCAGCTGCCCTTTCCCGGCTGCCAATGTGTCCTCCGTGGCTTTCAACCTCTCCTGGGAGCTCCCTGGGTCCCTGCCTCTCATCAGTGTCCCGGTGAGTGCTCCCTACAGCCCCGGGCCTCCTTCACCTAGACTCCTCCTTAGTTGAAATCCCCTCCGGGTGGGTTGGAACCGACTTCAGTCACTCCAGGTGGGTGTCTGACACACCTGAGCTCCGGATGGACGTGGGAGGGGAGGACCAGGAGGCCCCTGCCCTGCTCCTGATGCCCTGCCTGGCCCCACAGTACTCCGTGCACTGCTGCCTACTGGGCTTCCTCTCCTGCTCCGTCTTTCTACACATGAGCTTCGAGCTGAAGCTGCTGCTGCTCCTGCTGTGGCTGGCGGTCTCCTGCTCCGTCTTCCTGCACTCCCACGCCTGGCTGTCCGACTGCCTCGTCGCCTACCTCCACAGGGGCCCCTGGGATTCCAGGTGTGCAGGGCTGCTGGCCAAGGTGCCCAGGCCCTCGGGAGAGAGCACCTCACCTCATGGGCCTGGACCACCCATCACAAAAGGGAGAGGGAGGCTCCGGAGGCCCAGTGGGGCAGTGGAGGCAGGGAGGGGGCAGGGTGAGCGACAGCCCTGACCGGAGGCTCCCTCAGGCCGGGAGTGCTGAAGGAGCCCAAACTGATAGGAGCCCTCTCCTTCTTCCTCTTCTTCTTCACCCTGCTTGTCCTAGCTCGGCAGGTGAGTCCCTCCGCCCCGCCTTCCGTTTCTCCCTGCGAATGGGGAGGCTGGGATCCCCTATCTGTGGCTTGGTCTCTCCCTTAGGCCTAGATCTTTGGGTTCCGTTCAATGGTGTGGCCACTGGGAGCATCCAAGTGCTCCTTCAATTTCCCCTTCCCTACCCAAGAGGAGATCCTCCCCTCCTCCCCACCCCTCCAATCTGATGACACCCTTCGTTGAAGGAAAAACAAAGCAAAATCTCCCCCACAGTCGGGGTTGAATCTCCTTTCAAGGGTAGTCAGGTCTCTCTCAGAGATCCTTGCAGCTTAAATTCTATTTCTGTTTGGGGAGGGTGGGGGGCAGGGACCCTCAGGAGCTGAGACTTCCCCTGCACTGTGTGTCCCCATGACCCCTGGCGGCCCCTCCCACCCCCGCAGAATGAGTACTACTGCCGCCTGGACTTCCTGTGGAAGAAGAAGCTGAGGCAGGAGCGGGAAGAGACGGAGACGATGGAGAACCTGACCCGGCTGCTCCTTGAGAATGTGCTGCCCGCGCACGTGGCCCCCCAGTTCATTGGCCAAAACCGGCGCAACGAGGTGACCGCAGGCCCCTGACTCTGAGCCCCCGGTCATCTGAAGGACTAGCCTTAGAAGGAAATCCATCCTCCCTGGGCTGCCCGCAACCACGCAGGCTCTTGTCCGCCGGAGATGCCTGCGTTTCCGCCGAGTCCGGGCTCTGTCTGTCTGCGTCTGTCCTGCAAGTTCTACTGCACGGAAGGAATGTTTCTTCCAATGTGCAGCCCCTAATCCTTTCAGAAGCTGAGTCAGGTGTCCGGAGGAGGAATTTGCTGGAGAAGACGGTCCAGCCGTGCCTCTAAGCCTTTCCAACGTGGCTTTCATTTGAAGTTCGTGAAAATGAACCCCTCAGTCCCTTAGTCACACTAGCTACGCTCGGGGAGCTAGTGGCCACCAGGGTGGACAGAGCAGATGCAGAAAGTCTGGTTGACGCTACTCTGCTTTTGCACATCAATCTATTCTGACTCAGAGCGCACTACAGGAAGAGGGTCAAACTGCCCCCAGGGTTTCCTGGGCGGTCACCTCTCCAGGGGCAGCCTCGGGCCTCTTCTCCCAGGAAGCCCCTGGTGGGCTCCCAGTGCTGGCCTTGTGGTTACAGCCGAGCTCTTAGCCGTTGTGCTGTTCTCACACATGACGAGAAAAGAACCACTGCCATCGTGTCCAGGCTGCCTCACCGTGACCCTGTAGGCACTTTACAGGACGAGGCAGAACTTCCCCCTGTGAGTTTCCGAGACCGTAGCTTTGTGCAGGACTCGAGAGCCCCATCTTTCTCCCATGGAGCAGCGGGTGGTTTCAAACTGCTGGACCTTGCAGTTAGCAGCCCAGCACCACTAGACCTCCAGGGCTGCTCTAGAGCCTCCCGAGCCCTCTGTTGTTGACCATCAGGAAGGCACCAGTGTGGGCACCATCTTCTTTGTTCCGCCTGCCCACCCGGCCCGCCTCCTCTGCTCTGGACTTGTCCTGGCACACGGGGAGGGCCTGCTTCACCGAGGGATGCTCCCACCACCGGCTCTTCACTCTCTCGGGGTCAGGAGTAGCGCTGCTTCTCCTGGCCTCCGCTCGTCTAGACACTGCGAGTCTTCTAACCGATCCTGTTCACGCTGGCTGCTAGAAATCTCAGGGGCCAGCATCGAGGACTAACACTCCTTCGTCAACAAGCCTCAGACCCGATTCTGTCTTTGCCATCTTAGCCTTGTTTTCCCGATCGCGGCTGGGTTTTCTCTTCCGAGTTGTACACGCTTGTGGCTGATTCAACACCTCTCAGGAAGAAGCCAGGACATACAGTTTCCATGTGATTCCCGGTTCTAGACAGGATTCCCTTTCTTCAGCCGGGAGGTGATCCTCACCCCAAACTTTGCTCTCTTTTATTTTGTTATGTTTCATTTTTTTTGATTGAGCATTAAGTGAAGGTTTACCACGTAGGCCATCAGTCTGACATTTAATAATTCCTACACATTTTGTCTCAGCTCATCCACTGCAAGCCCTTGATGCCCTCATCTGTTCCGCTTTCTCTGTGTTTCCTGTTTGTCTTCTGCCTCCTTCCCTAACCCTTTGAACCTTGCCATTGAGTAAATGCTGCTGCCTTTTTAAAAAATCATGAATGGTAATTATTCTACCCCAGAGGTAAGCTCAACTCTAGATGTAAAGGCTGACTCAGGGCCATCGTCTCAGGGGTTCCTCCCAGCTCGTTCTGACGAGTAAGTCTTATTTCTTTTACAATTCTGCGTTTGGGTTCACCTGGTTTTCCTACTCCATCTAGGCCCTTCTCGTGCGATCCAGAGTCATTGGTAGGGGTAGCTGGGCACCATCTAGTTCTCCGGGTCTTGGGGCTGTGGAGACTGAGGTTTGGGTATTCCGTGAGTCCATTGGACTAATTGTTTCCATATGTCTTCCTGTTTTCTTTCATTGCTCTTCCTCCTCCAGACTGGGAGAAACTAATGGTCCCTCATTCAATGGCTGCTCGTGAGCCCCTCAGACCCCAGTTGCTACTCACCCGAGAAGGATGTAGACCGTGACCTTTGGGAACGTGTCTTACACCAACAGATCCTCGTGTCTCCTTTGCCTCTCTTAGAAAACCACAATGACTCCCAAGTCCCACCCCCAGGAGAGGCTGGCCTGGTTCCTGTCCCTCTTGCCAGATCCTCCTTAAACTGAAGGGCTAGGCATGTGGGCGCCGTAGGAAAGTCTCAGGCAAACCTAGAACGGGGAGGAAGGTGGTGCTCACCGGCCCCCACGCCCCCCCACCTTCTCCAGGACCTCTACCACCAGTCCTACGAGTGTGTGTGCGTCCTCTTCGCCTCCGTGCCGGACTTCAAGGAGTTTTACTCGGAGTCCAACATCAACCACGAGGGGCTGGAGTGCCTGCGCCTGCTGAATGAGATCATCGCGGACTTTGATGAGGTGAGTCCCCCCACCCTGGCAGCTGCGAGGCCAACCTTCTTCCCCTTCCCAGCTTTTCGTCCTCTACTCTGATCACCCGGCTCCTGTGGCTAACACTCCCTCCCCTGCCGAGACGCCACACTCCGATCCCTCCCGAGACCTGGGGCTGGACTAGGGAGAGAGGAGCCCAGAGCTTTGAGAGAATGGGGACGCGATCTCTTCCCTTCACAGCTGCTCTCCAAGCCCAAGTTCAGTGGAGTGGAGAAAATCAAAACCATTGGCAGCAGCTACATGGCAGCCACAGGTTTAAATGCCGCGTCCGGCCAGGACGCACAGCAGGTACGATCCCCCTTCCTCACCTGCTGACCTCGGACGCTAGTGGATGGGCCCATACGTGGGATTTATTCCTGTTCCCTCCTTGGCCCATCCTGGTGGGCGGCCCACTGCCAGGATGCTGAGCGAAGCTGCAGTCACCTTGGCACCATGGTGGAATTTGCCGTGGCTCTGGGGTCTAAACTGGATGTCATCAACAAGCACTCATTCAACAACTTCCACCTGCGTGTGGGTGAGGGCCCACCTCCCTGGCTGGGGGTATCCAGCACTTCCTCCTCTTCTCAGGCTCTTCCACCCCGCCCCCCTCCACCCAGGTCCTTTGTGAGCTGCCCCAGGGCATCCCTGGGACACCACTCCCTGGCCCTTGTCCTCCTCCCTTCTGAATCTCCCCAATGGGGTGGGTCAGGAGCTATAAGGCTACCGCAGCCTGTCCTTAAACCAGACTTCATGGGCCCAGAGACCTCCCCTCTCCTCTAAGACTCCCCAGACCTCCCTCTTCCCCCTCCTCCCTCAAAGTTTCCCTCCATCGAGTTCCCCTCTGTGCCTCCCTCCTTAATCAGGGTTAAACCACGGACCAGTGGTGGCTGGCGTCATTGGAGCCCAAAAGCCACAATATGACATCTGGGGCAACACAGTGAATGTGGCCAGCCGCATGGAGAGTACAGGCGTTCTGGGCAAGATCCAAGTGAGGGGGCCACACTGGAGGCATGGGGGTGGTAGGACAAGGCAGGGTCACCCCACACCCCCTTCACCAAATGCACTGGCCAATTCCCTTCCAATTGCAGGTGACTGAGGAGACAGCTCGGGCCCTGCAGTCCCTGGGCTACCCCTGCTACCTACGGGGCATCATCAAAGTCAAAGGCAAAGGGCAGCTTTGCACCTACTTCCTAAACACAGACTTGACACGCACCGGACCCCCCTCGGCCACCCTGGGCTGAGTCTCCCGAGACCCCCAACAAAGAGACTCGGTGTATCTCGGAGCCGCCTGCTGCCAGGCGCTTTGGGTAGAGTCGGAGATGGCCTTTCTCTTTCTTGCCAAACTGACTGCTTCTCTGCATGAAGGTGAAGGCGCGAGCCTGGATGAGCCCGAGGTGCTGAAAGTGGGTATTCTGTTTGCAAACGGAGGAAGGCGACTGCCTCCGACTGCCTGCCCGCTTGCCAACCAGATTCCAGTACAGTGTGCACCTTGGAAGCAGAAGGAGCTCGCACCGCGTGATTCAAAGCAAGGACCTGTCCTTTCCTGTCACCTGCTCACACGCATCGGAAGAGCTATCCAGGGAAATGCCATTTGACCCTGGTTTGTTCAACCAACACTAAATAAGCACCTACTATGTGCCTCATAGGCAAGGGAGTTACATGCCTGGGAAGCAATCCACTGGGCCCCTCCCAGTTTCAGCTCCTCTTCTCAGGCGGCCCGCCATGCTTTCTGATGGTACTTTTAGACAACTTGGGGATTCCCCGTTATCAGATCTATCAGATGCCCTCCACCCCCACTTCCTTCTGCACCGCATCATCTGGGCCTTGAAACTTTGATGGCTTATTCTCACCTGCCCATATTTTGGAGTCCATGCGCTGCCTAGACACACCCAAGTCTTCCGTAGCTGTTGCCCATGGAATTTGGGGGCTTGCTTCCCTGGTTAGTCTTTTGGAGAGATTTCAAAACTACGGGTTCCATGGCCACTTCCATCTTCCCAACAGGCTATTTGAGCAGAACTGGATTGACGCTCTCTAAACAACAGACAAGCCCAGCAAATTAGGACTCCATTCCTCACTCGGGCAATCTTTACTTCCTGGGGGGGGGGGACCAGGAGCACAAAAGGCCACCCTGTGCCATGGTGTGGCTGGAATGTTGACATGTGAATTCTAGGGGGGAAGAAAAGGATGGAGATTCCCTAGATCGGTGGTTCTCAACCTGTGGGTGGCGACCCCTTTGGGGCTTGAACGACCCTTTCACGGGGGTCACCCAGTTCATAACAGTAGCAACATTACAGTGATGAAGTAGCAACAAAAATAATTTCTGGTTGGGGGATCACCACCACATGAGGAACTGAATTAAAGGGTCGTGGCATTAGGAAGGTTGAGAACCACTGCCCTAGATGATCTCCTGCTGAAAAGATGAAGCTTATTGGCAGGAAGTTGGGGAGTCATATTATCAAAAATCTCTCTCACAGGCTTCCGGGTGGATGATGTCATGGGTTTCCTCAGAAGGGCATCAGTGCTGCTTGGTTTCCTGAGAAGGCCCTGAGTCAGGGAATCTGGAGGGATGAGGCCAGACGAGTGGTCCTCCGTGATTGGCTCCCCTGGGAGTCTAATACCCAGCATCATCAAGCTGGCCCTGACTTGTGGCGGCCCTGTGAGACGGGGCAGAACCTACTGGACAGGCGTTGTAAGGTTTCTGGAATGGGTAATACCTTGGTTCTTGGCGTCTCACGATTTGAGAATTCACACCAAAGCCGTACTCCAAGTGGACTCTTATGAAGGGTAGGAGAAGCTTCAGGTTTTACAGTCTCAAAAGGGCACACGCTATTTCCGGGAAGCGTGCCAAGCTGCGTGGAAGTTTCGCTGGGGTTCACGCCTGGACACGAGCAACCTCGTGGAACAGCGCACCCAAACGTGCGGAACTGGGGCCAGAGGCTGCGAGCGGGCACAGGAGAGTCAGATCGCAGAGCCACGGGGCGAGAGAGCCTGTGGCCCCCAGTGGGCCTGGAGTGGACGTTTGTGCGCCCTCTCAGGGGAGGGAGACCTCACCCTCCGACTTGCCACTGACCAGGAGCAAGGTAAAAGAGAGCCGCCTTCCCATGAAGCTATTTCAAGCCTCAGGCTGGGGAGGCGTGGTTGATGACATTGGTTGACCCCATTAGATGGGTTGAGCCCACCTGGGTGAGGTCATGGGCCCAGGCCTACTTTGGACTTCCCAGCTGCACCGCTCCCCCTCCCCCATCCTACCCCCACCCCCCTGGCTGGGGGCTTGAATTGGAGCATGCTCCGTTTGGGGGTCTTCATAGGCATCCAATGGTCGCTTGATTTCCTTCCAATCTCCTTTATGGGGGCCTTTGCAGGCATGGGAGGGACAGCCCCCTGTCCCTATGTCTTGCTACCTAACAGTGTGTGAGTCCGTCAGTCTTTACAGAAACCTACAGCCTCGTCTTCCTCCAGCAGAACCACGAGTGGACTTGAAACACCAACCTTTCAGTTCGCAGCCCAGCACTTACCTACCCCCAGCCTCGCCGGGGTTCCTTTGTCTATAAACCAAACAAGATAAAATAAGAAGGCCCACTGCCTGCGGTGTCATTCTGAATGAGAGCACCCCCATAGGACAAACTAGAACTGCCCTCACGGTTTTGCCGAGGAGGTAAATTGTGATGGAAGCAGACAGCCTCACCTTCTTCTCATGGCGGGATTAGTGGTTTCGAATCACCTACAGTGTGTGCTTCTACCCAATCCTTGAACCGCCGTGCCCTCAGGAATAGGTCCACCTGAATGTTTCTAAGGGAGAGTAGCAAGCTAGCTGCCTCAGGTAGTTTTCCCGAGGTAGTTACCTGAGAGGAGCTGGGATGATTTCTCTGACCATCTTTGGGCCCCATCTTTTAGGCAGGTGGTGCAGTTTGACAACTAACCTAAAAATCTAAAGGTTGGTGGTTGGGACCTCCCCTGTGGCACCGTCAAAGAAAGGTCTGGCAACTGCTTCCGTAAAGATTACCAAACACCAAGCAAGCCCAGACTCACCACTATGGGGTCAGGGCTGACTCAGAGCCCACTGTTTCCAGGCGAGGATGGCATTTTGTGGGACCACAGTTCTGCTCTGTAACACAGGCATTGCAGCAAGTCCATCAAAGCCAACTGAACACATCCACAGCTTCATTTATTTATTGGCTGTGATTTATTTGTTCATTTTTATTTGGGGGGCGGGGGAGACTTCTCAAGTTGAAAATCATGGGGAGCTAGACGATGGGCCGCTCAACTTCTGGCAGCTCTCCCAGGGTTGACCCAATTTCAGACTTTGGTTTTCAGAGTGAAGCCGCCCCCAGGGGGCCAGGCCCCAGCATGCTTGCTCCACCTGGCCGTCCCTCGCCCCCTCCCTTCCGCTCTTCCGCTCCAGCCCCAATGCTCACCCTCCTCCCTGGCGGAGAGAACTGGGTCAGGCCAAGTCAGGGAGATGAGCACCCCTCCACCCCCAGGGCGCAGGCCTGGTTCAGTTCCCTTCATCCAGGGGGTTGGTGGAGGCGGCTAGGCTGTCGGTGGTGTTGGGCTCCTGCGGGGTGGCGGTGCCCTTCACGGTCTGGCACAGGGTGCCCCCGCGGCGGGTGCTGTAAGCCTCGGAGCCCGTGGCCTCCAGCATCTTGGCGATGAAGCCCACGCCGGCCGAGCGCAGCAGGCCACCACCGGCGCACGAGTACAGCACAGGGTTCACACTGCTGCTCAGGAAGGCGAGCGCGATCAGCACCTTGCGCGCCAGCATCAGCTGCGCGCCCACGGGCCCGTCCCGCGGGCTCCGGCCGGCCAGCGAGCGGCCCGCCTCGGCCAGGTTCACTAGGTGGTAGGGCAGCCAGAAGACGGCGAAGGCCAGGATGATGAGCACCACCAGACGGCCCGTGCGGCGGCTGCGGCGGAAGCTCCGGGCCTGCAGCCGGCGCCCAATGTCCGAGTAGCTGGCCACCACGGCCATGAAGGGCAGCAGGAAGCCCGTGAGGGTCTCAAAGAGCAGGTGGAAGTCCATGTGGCCCTTGGAGGGGTAGCACACCTTGCAGATCAGGGTCCTGTTGTCTCCAGCCACGATCACCTGGCGGTACACCAGGACGGGCGTGGCCAGTATCATGGACGCCACCCAGATGCCTGCCAGCACCCGACTCACCATTGTCTTGGTGCGCAGCTTCTGGGACAAGAAGGGGCGAGCCACGGCCAGCGAGCGGTCCAGACTCATAGCCGTGATGAGCAGGACACTGGCGTACATGCTGACCCCACAGATGTAGAAGCAGAGGCGGCAGCCAGACAGTTTAAAGACCCAGGTGCCCCGGGAGAGGAAGGAGAGGAAAAAGGGGGCGGTGAGCAGGACGGCCAGGTCGGCCAGAGCCAAGTGCAGCACCATCAGTGCGGTGACTGAGCGCTTCTGCATTTTTACCAGGATGCTCCACACCACGAATCCATTGCCAGGCAGCCCCACGACCAGTGCCACTGAGAGTAAAATGATGGCCAGTGGGGCGATGAGGGCATTCACCGAGGACATGGCCGTGTTGGAGGAGGCTGTCATGTTCTCAGCCATGGTAGGTAAGGACCTGGAGAGCGAGAGTGGACACACCTGTGAGGGCAGGCGCCAAGGCGCTCCTGCTGACCTGGGGGATGAGGCCTGGGGGAAGTCTGCTTTCCTGATCAGGCCCCGGGGCTCCTTCCTGCCCACAACCCACTTGCAAAACAGGTGGCCACTGCCACCGCAGCATTTCTAGATCTTTCCAGCATCCTTCTGTTAGGAACCCTGAAGCCCAGGAACAAACCGAGTCCCTTCAAAGGCCAACAGCCTAACTGCACTGTCCAAGGCTGGGCCTTAGGCTCCTGGGGTCCGTGGACCTCCTCCAGCCACCTGCCCACTCTCGGGAGTCTGCCAACTATATAGGGAGGAGTTCGTAGATAGGCATAAGAACAAAGCCTCACAACTCCTCTTATCGCTGGTAAGGCTGCTCTTGCTTCTTCCCACATCGTGGCACCCCCTGCCACCGCCCCCCACACACACACACCACCCACCACCCAAGGTACTCACAGGCTTTGCCAAGGGCTGGCTGGATGCTGGTGCCAATCCCAGGGGAGGGCAAAACCGTGTACCCTACCCTGGGACCTAGCCCTGGGGCTGGGTGCTGTCAGCTAAGTCAGCCAGAGAGGAAGTACCACAGAACAGGAGGTGGGGGGAAGGCGCATCTTCCTGAGGGTGGGGCTGAAACCCCCACCCCCTCCCTTCGCTGCTGGGGGGAAAAAAACGCTCTGTGTTTCAGGAGAGCCAGTGGAGAGGAGGTATCCTCTGGGGTGGAGCTAGCTGAGAGGAGTGCAGAAAGGGGCAGTCAGGGAAATGTGGGGCAGGGGGAGTGAGTTGGCTGGGGCATGGCTCGTCTCCAGACTGGAGAATTGGACAGCGTCGTGAAGGGGACGCAGAAGGGGAGCAGGAAACAAGCGAGAGGCAGAGACTCGGATTGAGAGGGCAGATTTGGGTCGTTTTTCTCTTTGGGGGTGCGTGAATAATGTAGATGTTTAGATTCATAGGACGTGCAGTTGCAGATGTGACTAGGCTCTGGGTACGATGAGGTAACAGCGTGGCTTGAAGAAGCGTGGAAGTGCCGCACCTTGTCCTTGACTTCAGTTCAAGTGGTGAGCACCCCATCCCTCCCGTGCCTTCAGGGGATTGGCTACACATTCTAGGTCAACCAATCTTCTGTTTTCTTGAACAAGAGCCAGAGGCCAAAGATCTCCATCAGACAGAATGCCACTTCCTCTCACTGGCCCAGCCACTTGTCTTCTGCTTGCCTGTGTGGGATTTAAGGGCCGGGCACTAGACAAGGCACCTGCTGACCACTTGCACCTGAGGCACACCGAGAGAGAAGGGGGCGCAGGGCTGAGAGAGCGAGGCTGGGCTAGTGTAGGGAAGCAGGAGTGGAGTGCTAAAGCAGGGATGTCTCCGGCCACCCTGCCAAGAGGGGGACCAGGAATGTAGAAAAGCAAACCAGTCCTTTTCCCCTGCCTAGAGGGCATACCTCCACAGAAGTTAAGAATTGGGAGGCCCTTCTACCAATCTGACTGTGAGCCAACTTGCTTCGTTCCCAACACATTTCCCTCCTGTCAGTGCTCAGCAAAGCTGCAGGGTGGAAGGGTAGTCACCGAGGTCTCTAGTGGTTGACCAAAAGCAGAGTGGACCCAGTGACTGTCAGGCAGAGGATATGGTGAAAAGAAATGGACTAAAACCACAGCAAGAACTGAGGTCAGAGTTGAGGAAGAGCGCTCTGACCACACAGGGTGTGGGAGACGGCGCTATGTGACAGAGGAAGTTAGGAAACCTCTGTCCCCGCTGCTCCTGAGGACCCAGTTTTTTGCTCCCAACCTCCAGTTGCTGCCAACCCCCTCTGCCTTGCTGGCCCGCTCCATCTAAGGCCAGACACTCTGAGTACACCCCCTGTCCCCAAGCTCTGAGCTCCAATCCAGCCCCAGTTCTGTATTGTGGCCCTGGAATGACCCCGAGGCCTAGATTTCACACACACACACACACACACACACACACACACACACACGCCCCTCCAACCTTGATCTTTGCCTTGGTGCGTGAACTATCACTACAAGAGAAACAGGCTGTGGCTCAGCTTGCCAGAGATCACCCTGCTTACTGAGATACACAGCTCTACATGTGAAAACCGGAGGACTCCAAGGCTCACTTAGGCAGCTTGGTCACCCGAGGGCCCACATCGATGTGCACATCGATATGCCCTGAAAAGAGCCCCTGCCTACATACCCAAGCTCGAAAGTACCAGGGATCCAGGTCACGGGGGCTGGGGAGGGCAGGCCGAGATGCCCAATCAGAGAACCAGGTGGCTGCAGCTCAACCCAGGCACGAAGCACCACCAGGGGGAGCACCCTGACCCCATCCTCTTCCGGAAGCCGAGTGTATTTCACAATCACAGTTCCTGGCAACTAGCAAGCAGGCTGGCACATGGGCACATGCCAACCTGCAAGCGCACAATACCAAGGACCATCACCACCCTACAAGCCCGCAGGTGGGAAACACTTGTGCCTGCCCCCGGAGTACAATTCTGCCCAGCCAGACGGTGGTCCGAGAAGAGTCCCCGCCACCCCACCCTCGCCCCACCAAAAACATAAAAAAACCCAAAACCAACTTTTAGGGGTGCTTTTGGGCGTCCCGAAGGGCAGTGGAAGGGATGGGGGAGACGTAGACCCGGGCGCAGGGTTGGATGTCAAGGGTCTCATCCCTGACTGTCCCTCTCCACTCTGCCCCCCGGGCCCCCGTGGCTCCGGCCCAGCCCCCCCACCTTGAGCCGAGGGGTAGCTCGCAGCTCCATCGTGCCCTCCCTCGAGCGGCCGCTCCCTAAGCCCTCTCCCGAGCCCTCGAAGAGCCGCGTGAGGAAGCGCGGGCCGGCCCGGGGCAGGAGGTCCCCGGCGGTGAACACGTAGAGCACAGGGTTGACGCTGGAGCTGAAGAAGGCCAGCGCCGTGGTGCCTGCGCGCACGGCCTGGCACGCGCCGCCCAGCCGCGCCAAGCGGCCGCCCTGCGGGGCCAGCGCGGCGGCCGCCTGCAGCAGGTTCACGGCGTGGTACGGCGCCCAGAGCAGGCCGAAGGCCAGCACGATGGCGCTGACCAGCCGGCCCACGCGCGTCCCGCGCCGCCCGGCGCCCCAGCGCGCGCCCCGCAGCCGCGCCAGCGTCACGCCGTAGCAGCCGAGCACCAGGCCGAAGGGGAGCACGAAGGCGCTCAGGGTCTCCAGGCCCAGGTGGGCGGCGGCGTGCCCGGGCGTCGGGTGGCACAGCTGGCACACGTCGCCCGGCCAGAGGCGGCGGTAGACCGGGGCGGGCACGGCGAGCAGCAGCGCGGCCAGCCACACGGCGAGGAGCAGGCGGCGCGCCAGGGCCGGGCTGCGCAGCCGGGGCGCCAGGAAGGGCCGGGTGACGGCCAGGCAGCGCTGCAGGCTGAGCAGGCTGGTGAGCAGCACGCTGGCGTACATGCTGAGCGAGCACACGTAGTACACGGCCTTGCAGCCCGCCTGGCCCAGCGGCCACACCCGGCCCGTCAGGAAGGCCACGAAGATGGGCGCGAGCAGCAGCACGGCGCCGTCGGCCAGCGCCAGGTGCAGCACGAGCGTGGCGGCCAGCGGTCGCCCTCCCGCGGGCCGCCAGCCGGCCAGGCTCCACACCACGAAGCCGTTGCCCGGCAGCCCCAGCAAGGCCGCCAGCAGCAGGAAGGCAGCGCCGGTGGCTCGGGAGGCCTTGGAGCTCAGCAGCGTCTGGTTCTCCGGAAAGTTGTAGCAGTCCATTCTCGCGCGCACTGGCGCGCGCTGTGGGAAGATGGAAGGGGCCTCGAAAGGCACTGAAAGGTGGGATGGAAGCGGGGTTACCCCAAATGTCCGGACACACTGGCCTTTGCCATCCCACAGCCCTCTGCAGCTTGCTCTCTCCTGCCTGGGGCCTCTGACTCCCCGCAGGACCCCAGTTCTCCTACTCCCAGACAACTGACTCCACACACCTCTCCCACACACTCCAGCTCCCTCCCAGAGACCAGCGGTAACCAGCCCCCAGTCTTGGCTCCCAGGCTCTCCACCTCCACCACTCCAGCCCGGCCCGGCCTGGCCATTGTCCAGGGGCTAGGAAAGGCACTAGGGCTGACCCACTTACCCAGCGAGCAGCAAGCAGGGTTGGGAGCCCGCAAGGAACCTGGGAAGCTGGAAGCTGAAGCTGCAGGGCCCACGGTGCCTCCTCTGGTCCTATGCCTGTCAGATTTGCAGAGGGTGAGGTGAGAATGGGGAGGGACTCGCTTAGGCTCATCCTGGGCCTTTTCCGAGGCTGCGCCCTCACCCCACTCCTTCCCAGCACTAGCAGGTCTGGGCCTGTGAGAGCCCGCCTCCCCCAGTCAACAGGATCATCTCAAGAAGAGAAAAAAACTCCCTCCTTGTGGAGGTGAGTAGAGACATCCTGCCGAATCCTGATCCCACGCGTGCTCCTGCTCAAGCCCCTCCCCCAGCTCTGGTCCCAGCGTCCCCAGCCACCAGCTTCTTAGGAGGTGGGAGATGCAAAACAACAAACCAAACTCACTGTCATTGAGTCCATTCTGACTCACAGCAACCCCATGGTGCCGGGTGGATCTGCCCCCCTGTGGGTTTCTGAGACTGACTCTGCGGGAGTAGAGAGCCTCATCTTTCTCCAATGGTGTGGCTAGTGGTTTTGAACTGCTGACCTTGCTTTTATCAGCTCAATTCATCACCCCTATTGCACCGGGGGCTCCTGTGAGGAGACCACCTGCCGGGCTGTACCCCAGCATCGGGGAGGTTTAAGGAAGATCACGGCGGTGAGAAGCAGCCCTCTGTGATGGAATGGTCAGGCAGGGTGGGAAATGACGGAGGGATTTCAGGAGAACCTGGGAAATGGATGGAGTTGAGGGGAGGGGGAGAATGTCTCTGCCCAGCCAAGTCAGGGCGGGAAGCCAGGACACCAGGAGCATTGTCCAAGCAGTCTGAGTTAAGGGCTTGGGGGTCACATAACCCTATGCTGGGGAGGTCAGCCTGGCTCAGGGACCAGGATGAGGGAGTAAGAGAAGATGAGGGATGTGGGAACGTTCCAGAGGCAGACAAAATGGTTTCCAGAAAGACAGAGGCAGGGAATTGGCCCCCAGCTCCTATTGTTTAAGGGTTGCCCAGAGGCCTGCAGCCCCCAACACACGTCCAGCTGGTACTTGTCAAGGGTTGAGTGAACTGCCCCAGCTTCGGACAAAGCCCCTAGGCAGGACACTAGAATGTTGTTGGCTCATTTGAGAGGTTCACAGGTAGTGAGAGTCTACTTCCTCCCAGCCCGGCCCATCCTCACAATTGTTGCTATGTTTGAATACATCGCTGCCGCCACTGTGTCAGTCAGTCTGTCTACTAGAGGGACTTCCTCGCTTGCTGAGTCACCACTTTGCCCAGCATGACGTTCCTCTTCAGGGTCTGGTCTCTCCGGATAACATGCCCAAAGTACGGGAGATGAGGTGTCACCATCCCTGCTCCCAGGACCATTCTGGCTGTACTTCTTCCTCGACAGAGTTGTTTGTTCTGGAAGACCCTGGTGCTGAAATTCCAGAGCATCTCTTCTTCTCCAGTCTTCCCGATCCAGTGTTCAACTATCACATGTGGAGGAGGCGCTTGAAAATTCCATGGCTCGGGTCAGGCTCCCTTGTCCTCAGAGCGACAACCTTGTTCCTCAACACTGCGGGGTTGCCCCGTGTGATCTCCTGACTACTGCGCCCCTGAGCACTGATTGTGGAGCCCAGCAAGAGGGAACTCCGCGGGGAGGGAGAGGCCAACCAGAGCACTCAAGGCTGAAGTCCGATGCCATCCAAGAAGCACCCTTCCCCCACCACACACAGACACAACGAATTCCTGTCCCCTTTGTGCACGGGAAGTGGTGAAAGGAGAAAGATGGCTTGTCCCGTGAGGCTGACACAGGTCACCCTTCCCGTGAATGAGATCAGGGAAATGCTGACCCAGGCCCTCCCCGTCTAACCAGAAAGTGGAAGGAGGCCGGAAGAACAGGGCCCCAGGCAGGATCGTATCACTCAGCTTCAAAGGAGCACCCTGGCTCGTGGTCTTCAAGCCCTTTCTCTAAAGCCACGGTTTATGGACTTCCCAGCAGGTGGCAGCACATACAGTGCCACTCTCAGGGAACGCACCTTCTGAAGAAGGTTAAGAGCCAGAAACCATGCCTGGAAATATTCTTCCAAAAAATGAGAAACACCAAGGGGCTACATGCCATCTTCTTCCTTTGCTCCCGTTCACTCTCAAAATACACCAGACACACACACACACATATACACACACACACACACACACACACAAAAGCTTCTGTGACCTTCTCTAGCCAGTTTCGGGCCACGAGCCTTCACCTGTGACCTCATCGAGGTCCCTCCTCCTCTGACTCCCTTTGGACTTTGTCCTTCTTACAGGCCAGGCCAGGGGTCCAGAGTCCGGAATTGACTCATAAGCCACTTGACTGTCCGATGGGAAACCAACAGAACACACCAACACTTCAGCCCCAAGCCAGCAGAGAAGCCACTGCACCCTGAGCTTTCTGCGAGAGGCGCCCCCTCCCTTCCGGAACTCCCTGGACAATGGAGTACCTCTCAGCCCTCAACCCCAGTGGCCTGCTCAGGTGACTTCTCACTCTCCTTTCTGCCCTCTGGGCGGTGCCACCAGGGCAACAAAACCCCTCTGTGTTTACTGGGACCCCTGCTCCTCCTCCCAACCCCCACCCTACCCGTGGGCTGGCCCACTGCCCCCACCATCTCTCCATGGCAACTCCCTGGGCTGCCCTAATCTGTAAACCTAGATTACCCCTACCCCCCCTACTGCCCCACCCCCCTCATCCCGACCTTTCTCCCAACAACCAGGTCTGTCTCTAACGTGAGCTCAGAGGTGGGCCGTAGGGTCTGGAACTCGGCTCCACCGCCCCAGAGGCCATTCCGGGTGTGTGACCACAAGCGGGCCACTCGGAAAGGTCTGACAGCTGCCACCCTCCAGGAGCTGCTAGACAAGGTGAGTGGGCAAACCCTGGGCCCCTGAGAAGGGCCAGCCAGGGGGACAGGCAACCACAACAATGTGAGAGCCTGCCTCTCCCCGGGGCTAACCGGGATGGGCGCTCTTTTGTTTGGGGTCGGGGAGCAGTGAGTAGGGTGAGCTGGAAGGGGGCACTGGAGCTTCAGTCAGTATATGGAATGGAGATTTAGACGGCAGACCAAATCCTGCTTCTGCTGTCAAACCTTGAGAAGTTATCTAACCCATCAATGCCTGTGTCTTCGTCTATGAAAAGGGAGTAGGAAATCCACCACCTCTAAAATAATCTATGTGAATGCTACAAAGGTGGCCGGCCCCTGGGGAGGACTCCACCAAGGTCAACAATCACAAGGGTGATCAGAGGGTGGTGAGGAGGCGCAGCTCTGCAAACCTGGCCTTGGTGTGTGGAGGAGGGGAGTGGGAGCGGCCAAGCAGGAGCAAACTGGGGAAAGGTCCGCTCATGATGAGAGCCCCCCAACAGCTCAGGAAGACGGAGGGGCTATGAGGGAGAGTGGCAAAAGGCCAGGAAGTATTCAGGACATCCTCCTGTGTCCGCGCTGCCATGGGGATGCTGGGTAGTTGGAGAGGACAGGGCCCCACCCTCCCCCTCCTGCTTCCCACCCCCACACAGGCGCTAGACACCCTGCTGCTCAGTGGAGTCCTCACGCTGGTGCTAGAGGAGGATGGGACCACTGTGGAGAGCGAGGACTTCTTCCAGGCACTGGAGGATGACACCTGCTTGATGGTGCTGGAGCCAGGGCAGAGCTGGACCCCCAAGGTGAGAGGCTGCTGTGGCCTCTGTGTAAGGAGCCCTGGTGGCAGAGTGGTCACTCGTTGGGCTGCTGTGGAAACCAGCATTCACTCTGTAGGACAAAGACAAAGCTCAGGAACCTGCAGGGCAGTTCGACCTTGTCCTCTAGGTCTCGGCGTTGGCATGGGCTCCCTGGCAGTGAGTTGGTTTGGTTGTTATAGGCATTCATCGCTCTCCCCAGCTTCTCCTCAAGCCTCCCCCTGCTCCGGTGGGGAGGGCACTGGAGATGAGGGGCTGTCCACAGCTGTTCATCTTGACCGTGGATGACCACCCAGGGCTGACAGGGATTAGCGGTGGGTCAGGATGAACGGGCCATTGCGCTGACTGTGGTACCCGACAGGGTGGGATGCTGTCGTATGGCCTGGGCCGAGAGAAGCCCAAGCACAGCAAGGACATTGCCCGCATCACGTTCGACGTGTACAAGCAAAGCCCCAAAGACCTCTTTGGCAGCCTGAACGTCAAGGCCACGTTCTACGGGCTGTATTCTATGAGCTGTGACTTTCAAGGGCTCGGCCCAAAGAAAGTACTCAGGTGAGAGATCAGCAGGTATCCCTTCTTGCTCCCCAACAGTTGTGTGGCCCCCACAATTCCTTCTACTGCACTCTACCCCCAACAACTCTTGCTTATGGAGGCCCTGATCCTCCAGTTCGGTGGCCTTTCCCATCCCCACCTCCACCACCCTCCGCCTTTCCTCCATCTCTCCCCTCCAGGGAGCTCCTCCGCTGGATGTCCACGCTGCTCCGGGGTGTGGGCCATATGCTGCTGGGCGTTTCCGCCACCCTGCGCCACATAGTGGAGGGGGCTGAGCAGTGGCAGCGGCAGGGCCGCCTCCATGCCTACTGAGGAGGGTCCCAAGCTTCAGCCCCAGGCTTGTTACAGGAGACCCACAGGTACAACTCTGACACCATCAGGTTTCTGGAGTGGGGCAGTGATAGGTGTTTTGTGCCAACATTGCACCTATGAGAAGATAGGGGTGGAGTCTAACCTGTCGATCAGGTCACAGCCTGAAGGTACCTCCTTGTGGGTGTGACCTTCTCAGGAGGGCCCTGGGAACCTCCCCTCTCTCTCTGTTCACCTTCCTGTTGGTGAGCCACATGGCTGAGACCTGCTAGAGCCTTGTGGTGCTTCCACCCACATTGGATCCACAAGACTCTGCACCCACCGGCCCATGATCTTCCTGCATTCTGCATCATTGCATGTGGCTGCGTGAGTCTGAAGAGGGACTCATGGACCAGTATTGGACTTGGACTTGAGTTGGACTGGGATGGGATGTTTTATTGATGCATAAGTACTTCTTGGTATAAAGCTCTCTCTTACGTATTTATGAGTGTCTCTGGATTTTCTGTAGTCAACCTGGCCTAACACAGGCAGGAGGGCGACTTGATCACCTGCTGAATCTCCCCACTGTCCTCTGGCCCCTTCTTGGCAGGAGCCATCAGGACAAAGCTTCACGCCCCAGCCCACACCCTTTCCTGAAGAATGCTGCCCGATCCAGGCCTTTCCAGCCTCCCACTTACCCAGCAAGGCCACAGGCCTGCCCCCAGACACCTGAGCCCACCCTGACTGCTGCCACATCAAGACTCCGTCCCAACTCCTCCATCCTGTGCCCAGAGAGAATCCTCGACTTCACCTGGAGAGCTCTCTGTGTGCGCCCCACAAAAATAACCGCATTTCTGATAAAAAGACAAAAAATATTTACTGATGAGAGTCTTTGACTCTAATTCAAACCGAGAAAGGGAGAGGGCAGGTGCCCCCTCTCCACCCGCCCTATCCACAGAGTCCCAGATGCTAAGGCTCAGTCTTCCAGTATTGAATTCAGGACACGCCTCCGCTTGGCCACAGCCCCCTGCTGCTGTTCCCACGCCCCTCGCCGCTTCAGGAAAGTAGTCAAGGCCACGTTTCGAGCCACATGGTGGCCAAAAGGGTCTCTCAGCAGCTCTTGGTTCCGCTCCCCTGCAAAGGAAACCACGGCTTCGTCAGGACAGGCCCCACTTGGAGGGACTTTCCCTGAGTCTGGACCTGCCTCTAGGATGGGCATCTCCACAGAATGGGCAGCAGGGCTGGGGGCACACGACCACACGCCAGCACGGGGAAGGAAAGCGGGGCTGCTAAGAACCCAGGGCCTAGAGCAGCCCGTGCACCTCAAGCCTGTGCCCAGCTTTAAGTCCATGCCCAACCACCCGGGAAAGCCCAGACGAGTCCAAAGTCCAAGGGGCCTCTGGTACTCACCCAGCTCGGCAGCAATCTCCTTCCGGGCCCCCAAGGCTGCTGCACTCCAGATGGCATCGAGCACACGGCTGCCATGGCGACTACAGGCCAGGGCCACGTACTGCCCCTGCATTGAGATAAGCAAGAGAAAGGTCTCCCGTGGGCAGTCCAGGGCAGCCCTGATGAGAGTGGCTACATGGTGGGTTGCAAACCACAGGTCGGCAGGCTGAGGCCACCTGTTCTGAGGAAGAAGACCTGGGTTTCCACTCGCACGAAGAGTGACAGTCTCAGAGACTCACGGGGCAGCTCTAGCCTGTCCTACAGGGTCGACATGAAGTTCTGAGGGCAGTCCAAGAGAGTGGCTCTGTGGGGGTCAGGAGGACTGAAGTTTCAGAGTCAAAAAAGGCCTAAGAACTACCTTCTGAAAAGCGCGCACCCGGGCACATGCGTGTGTAAATGGGTGGTGAGAAGACCAGATAGAAGGGAGGGATCTAACCTTTAGGATCTGCAGCAAACGGCGGCGGCGCTTGCGGGTCACTGCGGGGCTGGTGAGAACGGCATCGAGCACGTGGGAGCCAGCAGGGCTCTGGGCCAGAGCCAGGAGCTGTGGCCCCGTCAAGGCACTCAGGCTCCGGAGCACATGACCAGGGCTGGAGAAGTGCAGCAGATGCTGGAGCAGTAGGGACCCAAGGACTGTCACTTCCCCCAGGGGCCTGGCCTCGGCCACTTCCACCTGGCACAACAGGGACAAGAAATGAAGCAGCAGCCACCAAACAAGAGGGATGAGCCTGTGGTCTGGTCACTGCCATCTCCACCCGGAGGCGGTCAGCAATCTCACAACCCTCACCTCGGGTCTGATGATTTCCCAAGCCCTGCGAGGCCTAACCAGCACGAGTCAGTGGCTTGGCCTCTGCCCTACTTCACCTGATGCTCCGCAGGCACTGCGTCCTCCTCCTCCTCCGCTAGCCCATAGTACACCTCATATGTCATCAAAGTGGCAAAGAGAGGCGCACAGGCCACCTGCCGGGATGAGGGATCTGCGCAGTGGAATGCCTAGACAGGGAGACAAGACGCGAGTCTGAGAACAAGGCTCTCCTACCCCCCAGACTTTCCAGACCAGGAGGAGGCGCTGGAGAGAAGTGAGAGGGCCTAACTTCACAAGCCTGACATCCACGAGGGCAGGCCCTCATCTGCCTGGCTGTTTCGTCATCCTATGCACATACGTCAGAGAGTGAACATACAGTTCTCCCCTAAATAAACTTCCCCTCCATTCTGGAAGACAGCTTGCATTCTAAGACTGGGTGGTTTCCAGGCTCCCTTTCCCCTGTATCTGTGGACTCCCTGGGCATTGGACTTTTTGAGCTCGCTGGAACAATGACGGATGATGGGCTAGAACTGGACCAAGGCCACAACGGGGCTGTAGGTGACCCTCACTCACCTTCAACAGCAGCTGCAGGACCTGGGCTTGGTGGGCCCCCACTCTGCGGCAGGCTCCCACCAGGGCGACGACCACTCCTATGTGGCCCTTAGCCAGCACAGCTTCCAGGGCAGGGCTCAGCTCCTCAAACACAGGGGTCAGCTAAGGGGAGACATGAGATGAAGAGTCATTGGCATTCTGGCAACGGCAGGGCAGGTGACTCGGAGACAGCCCTCTGCTGAAAGCGAGTCCCCGTGCTGGTCCGACGCAAAAGCACGGCCTCAGAGGCAATGCAGACGAGCCAGCTCAACTAGCCTCTTCGGGCCCGTGTCTCTATAGAGGACCACCTGAGACACGGGCCCCAGCTCCCAGGACCTCCAGGGCTCCTGTGCACCCGCAGCGCGGACATGGGCAGAGCAATGGTGGACAGGCTGGGGCTGAGGCTGCTGCCCCTCCCCACGCAGATTTATTCCAATCACACGACGGCCAGTGCACTCTCTCGTCATTCTGCCTAGGGTGCCTTGGCTGCCACAGACCCACCTAATGCCACAAGGAGAAGAGGTCCTTTTCCGTGGACACCCAGTGTCCTCCTGGTCTCCCTCACCCTCCTCCACCTCTACTGTTGAGTCTCAGCCAGGGGGGCCGGGGGCCCGAGAGCTGACTGCGATCGCAGAACACATTTTAAAGGTGATTTAACCTTGGGAGTGGGGAGCAGAATGCGCTAAGACTATGTGGTGGTGACACTACAATGACCCTTGATATAAACAACTGAAATGCATGACATGTACATTACGTGCCAATAAAACTGCTGGGGGGAGGAGGGGGGATGACTCAGGCCAAGAAACACCTCTACTTCCCCATCTTTTAATCCGAACGGTGGCTAGAAACCCAGTGTGGCAAAGAGACATTAGCTCTTCATCCAATCAACTGTTTCCACACCAATTTTGTCAACACAGAAAAGGTTGAGAATCCCAAATGTCGCGATTTGAAGGATCTGACTGGACGATGAAGGCCAACAGTATGTTTGGAGTTTCATGTACAAGATGAAGAGTGACAATCTCCAAAAATTAAGGAACAGTTTCTTTAAATGTGCACTAAAATCATGGACACTTAACCTGGTAACGCCGAGTGCGCGGTTTTGTAGCATTTCATTAAAATGTGCCTGGTACAGAAATTATAAAGCTTTTGGAGCCGGCATTTTATGATAATTTTCAATCTAGTGAAGTTTTAGTGTTGATATTTTTTGCATATGTTCATAAAACCATAGTTTTTATGTCAAAGGTGTAATACTCATAAAAAACATTTTATTTACTATATAGTTCCGCTTTTTCTAAACATAATGAATTCATTACATTCGCCTTTTGAATCAACGGTGACAAAAATTACCACAGCATGGATGGTGATTTGTTTTATGGAAAACAGCGAATGTATGACCTAGATGGAAGTGTACAGACTCATGCAAGGAACCAGATGATGAAATTGGCAAATAAAATGTGTATTATATTTAAAATGTTTGATTTTACAATATAAAATTTTAATTATATTGCTATTCAAACTATTTTGATAACAATGTTTATTTTTTCCCATGATAGGAAGTGAATATACGCCCGACTATTCTGACTTGGATGAATTAGAAGACCTTGTAGTTAGTAATGTAATACTAGTGAAGATGAGTTAGAAACTTCAGTTGTTGAAGTTGAAGAAACAGTTCCAATAACTACACGTTCAAAGCCATCTACGTCAACAAATCGAAGAATTCCTCTTTGGCGGCACATTTCTGGAGAAGGTACAGCTGGACCTATGCCTGAAGGGTTAGGACAAATAAATTCTTCTGGGGTAGGAAAACGTCCTGTTGAATATTTTAGACATTTTCTCGAAGGATATCATTACTCAGATTGTCGACCAATCAAATCTTTATGCAATCCAGCATATCCCAATAAACCTCTTGCACTGAGTAGCCAGGAACTTGAGCAATTTGGGGGTACACTGCTTGATTTGATAGACTCGCTAATTGCACTGTACAGAGTTCACATCAGATCGAAAAAAGATTATCACAATTTTTTTTTCATTTTATAAATGTGACTGTTGTGAAAACTCTTGGCTACTTTATTGTAGAGACTGTGAGACGCTTCAGTTAGCAAAAAAAATTTTTTTTAAATCCAAAGTCTGCAAGAGTTCAAAATGAGCATCGCCGAAGCTTCTCTTCTTGAAGGAAAAAGTAATAGACCAACAAAGAGGCAGGCCGCCTACCAGCTTTACTGATGCTGAGTTTGCTACAGAAAGAGACGAGGTCCTGCCACCGAAAGGGTCCCTGGAAGACATACCCGTTTGGATGGTCCTCACCATTACCCTGAGTTCACAAGCAGAGGAAGATGCAAAAATGTAAATTGCAAGAGTGCACCAGTATTTTTCTGCAGCAAATGCAAAGTTAATCTTTGTATCGCAAAAGAAAAAATTTGTTTTGTTCAATTTCACACTAAAATTATAAACAAATAAATTTTGTATTATATTTTATAAATGAGTTTCAGGTTTTTTTATTTAATAATAAAATAAAATTTGAAATTCATTTTTTATTCTTGTATTATAAGTCCATGGACGAATGTGACAATTTGGTTACATTTTAAAAACACTGCAAAATTATATTTTTTAACATATTTTGGTTGTTATATATACTGACAACTATGAAAGTGAATAATAAAAAAACAAAAAAAATTTCCTGTAATCAAAAATTCTGGCGTTATAGGGTTAAGACTACCTTTAAAAAAAAAACACAAGAAAAACAGAACTATTTTTTCTTCTGGAGATAAGAATGGAAGATGGCAGGGAAGTTCACATTTTATCTAGCTCATTAATTCTGTAAGACCATAAAAAGATTAGGAAACAGGAGAAGCTCCCATGGTTCTATTCCATGCTACGTGCGCTAGGAGTCTCCAGGCGTGACTGCATATCCTCCATGCGTGGTCAGCAGTTCTGATCTATGCTCATAAAGTGGTGTAGTGGTGACAACTGAACTGCTACCCTAAACTCAGCAGTCTGAAAGCAGCAGCCCCCCCCCTGGGAGAAGGCTGCTTTCTACCCTGTAGAGTTCCATCTCAGCCATCTCAAGTCCTGTACACCAAACTCACTGCCATCTGTCAAATCTGAGTTCTGTGAGTTTAAACTGTATATTATTAAACTATGCCTGCTCTCTTGGGAATTAAACTCTCACTTTGAGGCTTTGAGTTTGGCATTGTGTTTGGCTTCTTATGTAGCTAATCTGTGCTATGGGGTGATGGATTGTGACGTGGCCTGAGTCCAGTGCTTATAAAGTCACATGGTGGGCATGTCAGATCACCCAGTCCCAGCCTCCAAGGTTCATTTCGCAAAATCCATTCCAAAGAATAGGGAGCACACTGACCTCAACTAATTTCAAAATGCTCTTTATTCCGCACAGGCTAGATGCAATGTAAGCATGCATCTGTTCTGAAAGTCAAGCAAAAGAAATGTTGAAATAAAAACATGTGAAAGAGCCAAAAATAATGTTTATCAAAAATCTGAGAACTGAAGACTATGCTAAATTCAATGCAATAAACTGCATTAAATGCACCTAAGACATTTTTATTCTTTCTGTAGCTTTTGAAAAACAAACCCTTCCCAATACAATCACTGAGGACAGAGCAGGTGAATAAGCAAACATGGTGAAGAAAGCTGATGGTGCCCAGCTGTCAAAAGATACAGCGTCTGGGGTCTTAAAGATTTGAAGGTAAACAAGTGGCCATCTAGCTCAGAAGCAACAAAGCCCACATGGAAGAAGCACACGAGCCTGTGTGATCATGAGGTGTCAAAGGGATGAGGTATCAGGCATCAAAGAACAAAAAAAATCATATCATTGTGAACGAGGGGGAGTGCGGCGTGGGTACCCAAAGCCCATCTGTAGGCAACTGGACATCCCCTTACAGAAGGGTCATGGAGAGTAGATGAGCCAGTCAGGGTGCAGTGTAGCAATGATGAAACATACAACTTTCCTCTAGTTCCTAAATGCCTCCCCACTCCCCTCCACCCTATCATGATCCCAATTCTACCTTACAAATCCAGCTAGACCAGAGGATTCCCTGTGTTTCCAGTTGGGAAAAAAACCTTTAAGAATCAGAATAGTCACATTTGGAACAACTTCCTCTATCAGTTACTATTTTTAGATAGTCAGAACCTGTCACCTGTTCACAGCCACGCACTGATGTACACATGTTCCAGGGTCTACAATGAACGCAGCAGTTTTGAAAGCAACGTCATTTCCCCCCATGTTTAGAAACCTCCTCACGGGAACCACCAGAGCCAACAGGCCTCAAGCTGCTGTGTGTGCACATGACCACGACTCCCTTTGCTCCCGACCTGACTGCTGTACGTGTTGTTGAGTCTCATTCGGTGTACTTATGCTTCGATTCCCAGCAGCCTCTCCTGTGATGCACCTGATTCAGGATGAACACAAACTGAAAAGAAAAATAAAGGCTGGAAAAGCAACCCACTGGGAGGGGAGAGGGGCGACTGCTAGGTCTGAAGAGACTAACAGGCATTATTAAATCACCTCCAACACCAGAACACTGCCATCGAGCTGATTCTGACACAGCAACCCTACAGGGCAGAGTAGAAGGCTGCAGGGTTTGAACTGCTGACCTCTTGGTAGTAGCTCAACTCATAACCCACTATGCCACCAGGCTCCTCTCCTGGAATGCAAGTTCCTAATTAGACAAACTAGCTACATAGAAAACGGAGCAATTTGAATATGGACTGGATATTACGTAAGACAGACCTTTTTACTAAAGGAAGAGATTGCGATCTCAGAGGCAGAGACTGACATCTGAAAAAGGGTAGAAAAATGCGTGCTTCTAGCATGAGCGAGCTGACTACAGGAGGTCATGATGATAATCCCCACTTGAACAGTTACACCTTGTCAGGACACTTCCCGATGCACGTTGGCCTGATCCGGTTTTCAACATTGTCTGTGGTTTGGTTTGGTTTTCCACACTGGGGCTTACCTCAGATGTATTTTGTCATTTGGGGTCACCCTCTTGAAATTTTGTTAAATGTCTTTCTATTTTTAGGTCCATGAAACCCGGGATTGA